GTGGTGGTGGTGAAGGTGGTGGTGGTGGTGGTGGTGGACTGTATAACAATGGAAGAACTTTTTTTCCAAAGAAAATAAATCTAATTGGGAGACGGGGGACAAGGATGAAAATGTGCAACAGTGAATGAATGGAAATCCAAGTTCTTGAGAAACTTTCATTAAAATGTAAAACAATCAAACAAAACCCCACCTGCTTGTGTTTCTGTCTTGCAGCACTAGGGACCTAAGACATGCTACACTTCCTCATCCTTCACTCTCTCGAGGTGGAGTTTGTATTGGAAACAGTGTCCCTGCATTCCACTCCCTTCCTGTGAGGCCACTAGCCCAAGAGATGTGGTGACTAGATGTGAAGTCTGATGTGAGCAAGTGCAGGTCAGCTTTCCAGTGGCTCACCTGAAAAGTCGCACAGCCCGCTATCGGGAGCAGACCTCGGGGCTATCTCTCAGGGCCATGAGGCTGGGAATGGACCTTGGGTGCTGTCAGCATCACGATGCTGTGACTGGCCTCAACTATCCCTTCAGACCCTCCCTAAGGGCCACGGTAGTAGAAGCTGGGCTTTTTCTATCTGCAGATTCTCTGACGTTCATACACTTCATGCAGTAGATGACTCACCACCCCTGAGACCAGGCCTGAGCTGGAGTGGTTGTGTCAGCTGCTGCCCCCCCACCCCAGCGCCCTTACCTGTTCGATTGAGGTCCACGGGACAGGTGCTCCAGGGCAGCGGGTATTGGAAGGAGTTGAGGAAGTACCAGAACACCCAGGTCAGGATGGTGTTGTAGTACAGGCTGACTAGGAAGGACACGGTGAAGCAGCCCAGGCCTGCACACACATACCAGGCGGTCAGTCGTGCTGGCCTGCAGGCTACCTTTCCCCATACCTTCTGCCTAGAGCTAGCAGGTGAAATAAAGGCAAAGAGGCCAAACCACCTCCAGGGGTGCTGAGCAGGGTCCCACTGAGCCCCCTCCAAGTGTAAATGCAGGTGACAGCCCCGGGGAATCCTCCAGAAGATGCCCAGGTGCAAACTCTCTTCGTGACAGATCCTCTGTCTGCTTCAGGGAGCTCTGGAGGCTTCTAACTGGAAGGCACGTGATTGAAACCCACCCGCCACTCTGCAGGAGAGGGCTGGGCAGTCTCCACCCATGTGAGGAACTCAGTCTGGAAACCTGCTGGAGGGTCAGCTATGTGCCAGTTCACAATGACTATCTGGCTTAAGTACACTCACTGGGTCTCAGGTAGTAGCATCATTGCCACGGGACGGCTGGCTTTTGCGGTGGCCTCAGGTGGGTCCACGGGGGTAGTGCTGCAGGTTTGTTTCCTAGCAGTAAGCTTGTGTGGCATGTCACACTGCTGCAGGTGACACGTGGATCCCCCTCCACCCAGGGCATGTGTGGACCTGGGTTCTGCCAAGGCTTCCACTGATGCCTGAGCGCCGGGCATACGGGGCTTGTGTGCACTGGAACCAGGGGTGAGGGGGCCTGTCCTGCACACTGCGTTGGAAAGCTGATCCCATTTGCTTGAGGTGGGAGGCTCCTCCTCCTCCTGTCTGGGGCTCCCTTGCTCTTGCTTCTAGATTCTTGTCCCAGGGGCGCCCACTAATACATCTCAGCACAAACTTCTCAACGGTGTGGCCACAGGGGGGCTTATGGCAGCATGTCACGGGGATGTCTGTACACATACAACCGGGGTGTCCTGTTATCTGCACGCTGGAGACTGCCATGTGCCCGGATAGGGTGGCTCTATGAGCAGAGGACCACAGGGCTTGCCTCCCTGCCCGCCCTTTGTGGAACACTGCAGCTCCAGCCCTCCATGCCCATGGGGGGCAGCCTGCGTGTGGGTGTCTCCGCTGTCCAGGCTGTCCTTTCTTGGACTGATGTGATCTTAGCTTAGTCCCACCTTCAACCTGTGGGCTCTCCCCACCCTTTTATCAAATAGTACAGCCGGGGCCCAGAGGGGTCAAACATACCTACTCCGCCAAGGTAAGGGGAGATGGTCGTCCACACCCCGACGCTGCCCTGGCGCAGGCGTTGGCCGATGGCGAGCTCGATTTGGAAGAGCGGGATCCCCTCAAAGACCAGGGTGATAAAGTAGGGAATGAGGAAGGCACCTGCGAGGGACACAGGGTTCAGTGCCAATCCCGTCTGTGACAGCTGGATCTCGCACTGGAGGCTCAAAGGAAACCCCCCCCCCCCCATGACCTCCCTGAAAGAGGGAGATAGGCCTTGAATGTCAGCGCCGTGGACTCGGAGCAGCTGGGACACCCCAAGAGACACTGCCCTGCTGCAATTTATGCTTCAGTCAACATAATGCCTCATGCTCCCATGAGCTTGGATTCAGGCATGCTGAAGAGACAGGCAGAAAAACTGAGCCTTCTTGTGATTAAAGAAATACAGATCAAAAGAGCAGAGATATACCTTTTCCATGTGGTAAGAGTGAAGGGTAAGATTGTGCATGAAGTTGGCTTGGCCAGGATTCTCTGCTTTGGTAATTATGAGCTGATGTAATAATCACCCCCAAAGATGTGATCAATCATGATCTGATGTGAGGACATTAGGGTGCAATGTAAAACCTAATTTGCTTTTGAAAACCCTGATTTGAGCCTCTTCAAGGGTGCATGCAGCATTGATATATGTATGAATGCCCCGTCAAAGCTCTCTAGCTTTTCTGGATCTTGAGTCACCATTTGACTTCTGGTTCTTCAGACCTGAGCCAGTGACCTGTCTTATTACTTCCTGATCTGGTGATCCATCAGCCTCTGCAGTCTGTGAGCCCACAGCCTGCTGTCTGACCCAACGATCTGGAGTTCTTGAGCCCCTACAGGTTTCTGAGTCAGGAGAAGCCTTTCATCTGACTTCTGACCCAGAAAGTTGGGACAGCTCTAGGGACTCATTTTCGCAAGGTAAATTATCTCTTGCTGTGTCTTTCATTACGCAAACGTGTTTCACTAATTTGAGCTGCCAAAAGAACAAACAAGTCTGTCTTGGAAAAAGTCTGGCCAGCATCCTGGGCAGCAAAGAAAGGGACTCTCCTCCTCACATACTATGGGCATGTTGTCAGGAGAAGGATAACATGTCCTTGGAAAGGGATATCATGCTTGGAAATGTGGAGGTTCATTGTAAGAAAGGAGGGCTCAACAGGAAGAATTGCCACAGTGATTGTAACAAAAGGCTCCAGTTAGAGGAGAGAGTGAGGACGGCTCACAGTAGGCAAGGTTCAGATCTATCATTCATAGAGCAGGTCAACTCCGCAGCACATGACAACCAGAGAACACGACTAAGACAATGAGATCAGTACACTTCTACAATCTGAAGACCGCAAGCTGGGGAACCCAGAGCAGTGTTGGGGCGTCTTACTACTAGCCATTGAAGTAGACAGACCCTCAGATTCAGACACACTATTTCACATCCACAACCCGGAGAAGAACTTGTACAAAAGCGCAAGGAATTGCACAAAAGCAGGAATGGTCAGGAAATTGTTCTGCCTATTAGTCACAGTGTGGCAATGCTTGTATATTCTTCTATTGGACAACAAACACTATTCAAAATAGAAGCTGTGTCACATAACAGAGGCAAATCCACAACCAAAAACCAATGCATTAAAAGCAGATTTGTACACCAGTATTCATAGCAGCATTATTCACTATCACAAGAACATGGAAACAGCCCAAATGTCCAACCACAAACAAATGGATTGAGAAATTATGGTACATTCACACAACGGAATACTATGCAGCACACAGAAGCAATAACTTTGTAAATTATTACCTAACTTGGGAGGGACTGAAAAGCATTATGCTGAGTGAATTAACTCAGTCACATAAGGATAAATATTGTATAAAACCGTTATTGTAAAATGAGTATAAGGATCCAGGAGGGGTGGGGGAGACTGGAAGCAGAGGGATGTGGATGTGCAGGGAGACTGGGGAATTAATCATTGGGTTGTACAATTTGATGGGGGGAGGGAGAGGGAAATGGAAAGAATTTGTTCAAATTTGTATTCAAAGCTTGTAAATGAGTAGAAAAAAATTTTTAAAAAGCAGATGGAAGGAGGTTTGGTGGCACAGTAGGTAAGCACTTTTCTGTTAATTAAAGCCAGCTGTTCAAATCCACCTGCCCCTCTGTGGAAGAAAGAGGCAGCTTTCTGCTTCTATAAAGAGTATAGCGTTGGAGACTATGGGGAACTTCTGTTCTATTGGACATAGAATTGCCACGAGTTGACTGGATGGCAATAGGCTTGGTATTTACAAAGCTAATGGATCAACATGCCCCAGGGTGACCAGCCTACAAGACAGACCCAGGCAGAGAGTGGGAGGAGCTGTGTGTGCCCAGTAATACTGCCTTCTCGTGTCCCTCTCCCACAAGCGCCTGGTCTGAATAACCAAGATCACTGGCCAGGAGTGATGATGTGTCGCTTCTAAGACTTTCTCTCTCATTGTTTGAGTTGGAACCAATTCATACACCAGTGGGTTTTCAGAGGCTGCACATAGCATGAGAGGAGACTGGCTAGCTTTCTCTCAGGGAGCTGCCAGTGAATTTGAACTGCAAGCCTCTGGGTTAGGTGTACAACTCCTTACCCACCAGACCACTGGAGCTCCCTCTTCTAATACCTTTGTGGTTAGGGGCTATCGAGTCAAGTATGATTCATAGTAACCTGAACCGTGCTCTCTCCTGGGCATAGCCCTAACCCTAACTCTAACCCTAACCCTAACCCTAACCCTAACCCTAACCCTAACCCTAACCCTAACCCTAACCCTAACCCTAACCCTTGTCACAATCACTAAGTTATAAAGCAGACTACCTTCTTGAGCGTTCTTACTCTTCCCCCTCCCACATCTATTCCCCTCTTCTCTCTTGATGTAGTAATACTAATAACAACAACATCAAAATACCAGAAGGAGGACGCTTTAAAGGACAGAGAGCATCAGCTTGCATTTTGGAAGGTTTGGCTTCTTTCTTGGTCAGCTCTGGGGAAAAGACCCTTCCTTGTATGGTCCAGCCTGTGTGGTCTTCCACAGACCTTGACTGTGCGCGGCTGCTTGTAGATTATTCTCACACAGCATCTGTCTATCTGTACCACTGTAGCTCTTGCATTTTTATGATGACATCGCAGTAGATTTCTTTCCCAGGACCGTGTTGGATGGGCAGTGTTCTGCTGTGATGCACAATATTTTTTTATTGACTGATTTTGTTAATAGATCATCCGGCCGTACTTCCTAGTGTGTCCTAATCTGGAAACCCCACTGAAATCTGTGCACCATGGATGCCCTTGCTGGTATTTGAAATATCAGGGGCAGAACTTCCGGAATCACAGCAACATGCAAACCACCCACCACAGCACAACATACTGACAGACAAGTGGTGCCTAGGAAACCTTCACCTCATTGCTGTGGGGTCAGTCCAGACTCCTCGATACTATAGGACAGAGGAGAACTGCCCCACAGGGTTTGCAAAGCTGTAATCTTTATGGAAGTGAACTGTAACAATTTTCCCCCAAAGAGTAACTGCTGGGTTTAAACTGTTGACCTTTTGGTTAGCAACCAAATATCTAACCAGCAGGGCTTCTTTTTTTCTGAACATCAGATCCCAGAAAAGATTTAAAAAGTGTTCTAGGTAGAAACAACTCCCTCCTTCTGACTTTATGACTCTCTTATTCCTTTATTTGAAGGGGCTACAAACACCACAGATGAGCTCTCTCCTCAACAGTATGGACACCACAAAATTACTCCAAATCGTATCTAAATGTTTTCCTAAATGATGCGGCCTCTTGTGGCTTGAAGAGAGGCAAGTATGGAATACTTGGGGCACTTGTGGCTTTCTTTTTTGCCCCAAGTGGGTGTCAGCAGAGAGGACTTGCCAGATGAATTGAGGGTTTCTGACCTGGAGTTCCCCAGCATTTGGGCGTGCTGGAATGGTAAAATACTGAAATGTCTGACAACAGCATAGAGGCAGCTCAGTTGGCCTAGTAGACAGAAAGTGATGCTACCAAGCCAAAGGTGAGTGACTCTATTCTGTGGCCTTCAGAGCTGTTTTTAATTGTTTTTGATCAAACATTCTTCTGGTTGTATATCCCTGGTGTGTCCACTTGCTGTACAGAGGTTAACTAATGGTTGCTGTGAAGCTGAACACTGTGACACTGATGTGTCAAAAGCGAGAATGGTTACCCATGGTGGACAGTGTTTGGTGGAGCTCCCCAATTAAAACAAGCTTGGAAGCAGGAGTGGCATCCACTTCCAAAATGGCTTGCCTCTGGAACCCCGATGAACCTGGAGAAAGGATGAAAGTCACACAAGTGTTGAGGACTTTCGTTCATAGGGTCTCTATGAGTTGCCTATGACTCGATGACACTTAACAACAACAACAAATTCCATTAACTGTATTGCTTTAAAATTGTCATCTGTAAAAAAATTACAAAGCCAAGTGATTTGAAAAGGAGGTGAAAAGGGCCTACCCCTTCAGTTGTGATGAATTTATACAAACCTAAACATTCGTGTCCGGTTCAGGGCATGGTCTTTTCAATTGCTTGCTACGCAACAGAAAGTTGCACAATGACTAAGAATAATAGAAGAAGAACTGATGATTTTGAGCTGTGGTGTTGGAGAACTGAATATCCCACGTATTTCCAAGAGAACAAACAGGTTTGTCCTGGAGAAAATGAAACCAGGGGGCTCGTTGGAGGTAAGGATGGTGAAACTCCACCTCACATACTTTGGGCATGTTGTCAGGAGTGGCAAGTCGTTGGAGAATGCTTGGGAAGGTGGAGGGTCAGGGCAAGAGAGGAAGAGCCTTGGTGAGACGGATTGACCCAGTGACTGTAGCAATGGGGCCAGGTGTGTTGGAAATGGTTAGTTGACTCAAGGTGGGGCAAGATTCAGGGCCATTGCTCATAGTGTCTCTATGAGTCATAGTTGATTGGATGGCACATAACAACAATCACAACAGACCTGTGCAGAGGGGGCTCTGGTGGGGGAGCTGTAGGGAGCTGTGCTGCTGATCTTCAGATGACACTTCGTGGCAGTTCAAGTTCACCGTCCGCTTCTCTGGAAGAATCTGTGCAATTTCCTTCCATGCGATTCACAGCCTCCAAACACTCAAGAAGCATCAGCAAGGATTTGTCATCTTATTTTTTTTAACAGTCCATTTGTTACATGGTCTAATATCAGATCTTAGATTATTTTCTAAATTATCTGTGCTGGTAAAAATGAGTCAAAAGTGGGCATCCTTGCATATAGGTGGCCTTTTGGAAAGGTGAGGGTTAAAAGGGGTATAAATAGTTCATGCTGTCTGATGAGTAAGTGCATCCCTGGAAGTAGATCCTGGTTGCTGCTCTGAGGTGCTGTCAGGTCCACTAGGGCTCACGGAGACCCTGTGAGCAGCAGAACCTCGTGCTGTCTTGAGGCCAACTCACAATCTCCACCACACTCAGGCCCGCTGCCATGGTCACTGTGTCCACCTTGGTGAGACTCTTCTCTCTCTGACCCTCCACCTTTCTCAGCATAATATCTTTTTCCAAACACCAACTCCTCCTGATAACATGTGAGATACCCAACGCCTGTGAGATGAATTTTATCAGCCTCACCACCTCTGTTAGTTTTCTTGTTGTGTACTGTAGCGTTGGAACCGACCCATAGCTGACCTTCTGGTGGGTTTTCCGAGGCAGTTAATCTCACGGGAGAAGATTGCCCATCCTTCTCCCTCAGAGCAGCTGGTAGCCTTGAACCATGTGCCTTTGGGATTGCAACACAGCTTCTTGCCACTAAGCCACCAGAAGTCCTCCTTGCTTCTGAGTAACTAAAACAACAACAACAAAATCCCTGTCCTTTTAGACAGCTGTAGGCACAAGACCAGTGTCCACCATCCATAGCACCCACTGAAAGTGGGAGAGACGGGAGGCCAGTCACGGGCCTCATGACAGCTTCTATGCTTATTTGACCTCCTTCAGGAAAAGCTAAAGAGGAGCCCTGGTGATGCAGTGCTCGAGGCCTTAGACTGCTCACGACAAGGTCGACCCACCCGCTGCTCCGTGGAGAAAGCTGTGGCGTCTGTTTCTGTAGAGATGCCCCGCCTTGGAAACCCTGTTATTCACTGTGAAGCAGAATCAGCTCAATGGCCGTAAGTTCGGTTTGGTCAGGATGTGAAACCACACAGACTGTATTACCTGGTGGCTTCTGAGGCTCAAAGAGCGCACGTTCTTAGAACACTCACTTCCAGGTGCACTGTAGGCCTTCAACAAATGCTGGCTTGGTTACTGAGTACCAGAGTTGCGCAAAGAGTTAATGCACTGGGCTGCTAACTGAAAGGTCGGAGGTTCCACTACACCGTGCGGTGATACTTGTGAAGAAAGGCCACCAACGGAAAAATCAGTCATGGAAAGCCCTGTGGAGCACAGGTCTTCAGACACACCTGAGGCCAACTTGATGGCAATTAGTTAAAACTTGAACCTGGCTATCAGATGTTTAAGGGCGTGTTAAAGACCTGGCCGCCATTCTGAAGGTTGCCTCAAACACTTTTCATGGGCCGCACTCTGTGGTGATCTGGGGGCCTCTGGGGTCTGAGCAACAGCCCAGGCTTGGTGCTGTCTGCTGCTCGTGTTCCCTAGACGCCTCTGTGCAAAGATCAAGAGGAACTTAACTGCTCGGTAGGAATGTTCTTTGTTCCCTGTCCATTGCAGGTCGTGGGGAGCTAGTGGTAGGAGAAGCGCCCCACACAGTGGTCAAGGCTGTGCCTTTCAGAACGAGTGCTGGTGGCGAGCAGGTAAGCGTTCGGCCATTGCTGAGAGGCGGATGGAGGGTTTGAACCCACCAAGCACTCCAGTGGAGAACCAGCTGGTGGTCTGCTTCCACCAAAGATGTACAGAAACCCTACGGGGCACTTGGCCTCCACCCTCCAGGGTCACAAGCAGAGGGAATCAACTTGACAACAGCGTCCAAAGACCTGTCTCCTAAGACTCCACTAGGTGGATTTGAACTACTAGTCTTTGGGCCACTAGGAGAGCATTTTACCACTCCTACCAGGCAGGATCTCCTTCTTTGAGAACACCTGTGGACATCTCAGGTGATGACGTTCACAGTGGCCTAGGTGTCTGGCTTCTTAGAAGCATTGCACAGAGAGGAGTCAGAGGCTGACTATTGCCTTCAGAAGTAACCAGAGATCATGGTGCCACTCGGTCTGTTCCAGGGCTCTCCTTAAATGCCAGAAGGCACAAACACCATCTGATGGGGTTGGTTTGAGGGTAACAGCATACTGGTAGTTCCTGGGAACAGCTGATGCCCCAGGTAGGGTAGCCTGCAGCTGGCACTGAACTGGCAGAGTGTTATGGGCATCTTCCCCCTACTGGGGGAGGGGGGACACAGAGGCCAGGTGTGGGCTGTCTGCCATTGGGAGGTGAGGGGGACGCTTACCTCCCCCGTAGGTCTGGCACAGATATGGGAACCTCCATATGTTCCCCAGCCCCACGGCAAAGCCGATGCAGCTCAGGAGGTACTGGAACTTGTTGTCCCACTTGGGCCTCCCGTCCCCGCTGTCCTCCTCCAGAGGCTCTGGTCCTGGGGCGGGGGCCATGCCTCTGTCCCCGCCGAGAGCAGTCTGGCTCATTGCCTGCAGGTCCCGGGCACTTGGGACATGGGGCGGAGTCCCCCCACTGCCCTCAGCATCGAAGAGCCCATCAACCAATGCTGGGCTAACTGCACCTAAGGTGGTAGCATTTCATTTATTTAAAGAAAAACCAGCAGAGCTCAGTTAATTGGTAACTGGACACTAGATTCTTGAGTACTCGCTGACCTGTGCCCTCCAGCCCCTCAGCCATGCCTGTTTCGTGCCAACTGCTGCTGGTGATGTGAGAATCATTTAAAACAACAGCCTCCTCTTCCTGGTTGGGGACATTCTGCTCCTGTGAAGATCTACAGATTTTAGGTACCCTGTGGGGCTCTCTTCTCTTACTGTGCACCTGATCCGAGCCACGGTCTTTTCAATTGCTTGCTATACATCTGAAAGTTGGACAGTGACTGAGGATGGCAGAGGAAGAATCCCTGCCATTGAGTTGTATTGGTCCCATGGACCTCCAAGAGAACAACGAGGTCTGTTCCGGAGAACATGAGACCAAAGTGCCCCTTGGGGCCAAGGATGGTAAGACTCTGTCTTACATTCTTTGAACACATTGTTCGGAGAGGCAAGTCCTTGGAGAAGGAATGGTGGAAGGTCAATGCAAGAGAGGAGGAGAGACAACAAGATGGATTGACACGATGACAGTGGTAATGGTCCCAAGTGTGTCAGAGATGGTGATGATGGCACAGGTTGGGCCAGGCTTCAGAGCTGCTGTTTATAGGTCGTTATGAATCACAGTTGACTCGACAGCACATAACAACAACAACAACAATGGGACTCGACTCTGTCAGAGGGTCACTAGGAGTTGAGATCAACACAACAGTGTTGGGGCTTGTTTTTGTTTGTTTTAGTTTTTCTGACTACATATTTATTCAACATAAAACAATTCCCTCCAACTTTACTAAGGTGACTGACCATGTTCACTACCAAATCTGCCTCTCAACTGATCCAGCCCCAGCCTTGGCTTTCTTGTCGGCACCAAGAGGCACTGCACTCCGTCTGTATGTGTCTCTGTCAGCCTCCCCTTGGGTCAATCTTGCAGGTAGTTCGCCTTCCAGACCTTTTGGTCGTGGCTTGCCAGTTTCAGGATGGCTGTGGTGTAAGGTGGCAGGAACAATCTCAGGGGGCAGATGGAGGTAATCACGTAGATATTGGCTACCCTGGTTGGTAAGGTACCAGTAGAAATGTCTCCAGGCGAACTGTTCCTTCACATAACCTCATGACTTGAGACTCTGCATGGCCTTCATGACATGAAGGTTGGGCACGTTTTTGTCTTCAAGTTCAGGGTGCTTTGGCATGTGGACATCCTTCTTGGCAGCCATTACTTCCTCCTTAAAAAGGAATTCCTACATGGCAATGCAGTTCTTCTTGGGCACCAACATTGCAACGGTGACTGTGTCTGGAGTCGGGACTGGAAAGGGAACAGCGTTGGGTTTTATAGTTTGGTTTTTCCCCCTTCTTTTCTCAAATTTGACATTTCAGAAGCAGATAACCAGGCCTGGCTCCCAAAGGTCCTCAGGGTAGATTTGAACTAACAACTTTTGAGCTAATAGTAGAGCATTTAGCCCTTTCTGCCATTTAACTGGGCACATTTAGTTGCTTTCTTCAACTTTTAATGAAGCCTTTAATTTTGAGACAATTGTAGGCTCATGTGCAGTGGTAGGAAATTGCACAGAAAGGCCCCCTGGAAACTTTATCTGGTTTTGGTTGTCATTAGGCAACATTGAGCCAACTCAATGAGTCAACTCAAGCAACTCTGTCCAACAGAATAGAATCTTGCCCAAACCTGCACGATCCTCATCATCGCTGCAGTGCTTGTGCGCACTGTTATATCCACCGTGTGAATCTATCTTGTTGAGGTTCTCCTTGGCTGACCATCACCCCAGTGGTATGATTCTACAAAACTGTAGGACAATTTGTCATCAGGATGTTGCTACTGACACAGTTAAGATTCATAGCGTTCCCTCAACCAGGATCCCTTCGGCTGCCTTTTGATGATCACTCTCATTTTCTTCACTCTCATTCTCTCTCCTTCCTTACCAAAACCCCCCAAATAACTCATTGTGCTGATTCCAACTCAGAGTGGGGGTACCATTTCTCCAGAGAATCGTCCCATTTGTTTTTACATACCATCAAGTCAGAACTGATTCATAGCTGGCCCTCCAGTGGGTTTTTAGAGGCAGTAAATGGCATGGGAGGAGATTGTCAAACTTTCTCCCAAGGAGTAGCTGGTAGATTTGAACCGCATATCTTTGTACTGGCAAAATTATTCCTTATCACTAAGCCGCCAGAATTCTCTAATGGAATATTCCTCTAAAGGAATATCTCGTGGGCTTCCAAAAGAACAAACAAGTCTATGATGTCAGTTTGAGGACTAAGGGGCATCTGATGCAGGCCATCGTCTTGCTGATCTCTGGCTATGCATCTGAGAGCTGGAGAGTAAACAAGGATGACAGAAGAAGAGTTGATGCCTTTGAGCTGTGGTGTTGGACAAAAGTATGGAACACACCATAGACTGCCAAAAGAACACACAAATAGTCTCAGAGAAGGTGCAACCAGAGTGTTCTTTGGAGGCAAGAATGATGAAGCTTCCTTTCACATACTTCAGTGATGTTGCTAAGAGGTGCTATTCCTTGGAGAGGGACATGATGTTGGGAAAAGTAGAGGGTTGGAGAGGAGAGGAAGACCCTCAACCAGATGGATTGACACGGTGGCTGTCCCAATGGCCCTAATGTATCAGGAAGTGTGAGGATGGCACAGGATAGGTCAGGGTTAATACCTCTTGTTCATAGGGTTGCTGTGGGTCGTAGTCAACTCGACGGCACCTAATAACAACAAATATATGTTGGAACTCTAACTCCCAAATCCATGGAGGACCCTTTAGGTGGTTCCATAGTTTATTGCTCAACTATTGTTGTCGTTTTGTGCTGTCAAGCTGACTACGACTTATCGAGACCCTATGCACAGTAGTTCTGAACCCTGCTCTATCCTGAGCCAGTATCACTGTCTCTGACACACCAATGCCCCTATTACCCCAGTTACTGTGTCAATCTATATCATTCAGGGTCTTCGTCTCCTGCGCTGCCCCTCCACCTTCCAAGCATAATTTCTCTCTCCAAGGACCAGTCCCTCATGCCAACATGCCCAATGTATATGAGATGGAGTCTCAAAATCCTTGCCTCCAAGGAGAAACTTGGCTTCATTTTCTCCAGGACAGACCTGTTTGTTCTCTTGGCAGTTCATGATATGTTCAATACTCTTCTCCAGCACCACAACTCAAAGGCATTTATCTTTCTTCTGTCATCCTTAGTCATTGTTCAGCTTTCTGATTCATAGCAAGTTAATTGCGAAGATCAAGTGCTCTTTAGTCTCCAGGCTAATATTGTTCTTCAGCACTCTGGGGAGCTCCCTGACAGTAGATTCTCCTAATGCAATTTGTCTTCTGATTTCCTGACTGCTGCTGCCAAGAGTGTGATTGTGGAGCTGAGCAAATTAAAGGTGTTCTCCATCCATCATGTTGCTGTCAACCGAGGTGAGAATCTTTGTCTTCTTAATGTTGTAAGGTACGTGCACCTCCATTCTACCCAGCAGTGTCTTGGAGGAAAGATTGACGATCCTCCTTCAAGTTGTCTTTCACAGTCACAGTCATGAAAACACTATCAATGGCAGTCCTGCTCTTTCTTCATGACCTCATCAGAAGTCAAAGCCAATTCCACAGCGATAGTTTTGGGTTGTAGATGGAAATCTGTTTGGAAAAAGCATTTTCTTTGCTATGTCACTTGGGCCATATTTGAGAAAGGCTGGGCTCTAAATCTAATGAATAAGGACGATCTAAAAGAATCTATGCCTTTGATATGTGGTGTTGTGGAAGAGTATTGAACATCCTGTAGACTCCAAAAGAACAGAGGAATCTGTCCTGGGGAAGGACAGCAGGCTGCTCCTTGGAGGCAAGAATGGTAGACCTTGCTTTTTTTTTCTTTATTATTCATTTTAATGGGAGTATACAGAAACTTTGGATTTCTAGTCATTCATTGTTGTACTTTTCTCCCTGCCCACCCCTCCCCCCAGTTCACTCTTCTCTTTGAAAAGTAAAAAAAACCTCTTTCATTGTTATACACTCCCCCCCCCCAGTCCACTCCACTATGAAGCCTTCGTTCTGAACTCCTGTCATGACAAAAATACCTAATCACATATCCCTTTTAAACAGTTCTCTCCCTCATCAGTTTCAATGCAGTATACATTACTGAACCCATCTTTCTCAGTCTCCCTCCAACCCCAATGTCAGTCCCGTTCTACAACAGTGGCACTATGCGGTATTTGTCCCTTTGTGACTGAGATACTTCACTCAGCATAATGTCCTCCAGGGTCACCCATTTTGAATACTATTGCATGAGTTCCTTGTTTTTCAATGCAGCGTCGTATTCCATGTGTGACTATACCACAGCTTCTCTATCCATTTGTATGTTGATGGGCACTTAGGTTGTTGTTTCCAACTCCTTGCTGTTGTGAACAAAGCCACAATAAACATGGGTGTGCATATATCAGCTTGGGTGGTGTTTATGGTTTCTTTGGGGTATATTCCCAGTAGTGAAATGGCTGGGTCAAATGGTATTTTTATTTCCAACTTTTTGAGAAAGCACCATACAGCCTTCCATAGTGGTTGCACCATTTTACACTCCCACCAACAGTGAATAAGGGTTCCAGTTTCTCCACAACCATGCCAGCATTTGTTGTTTGCTATTCTGTTAAATTTTGCTATTGTTACTGGAGTGAGACGATATCTCATAGTTGTTTTGATTTTCATCTCTCTTAGAGCTAGGGGTTTTGAACATTCATGTGTTTGTTCACCATCTGAATGTCTTCTTTGGTGAAGTGTCTGTTCATAGCCTATGCTCATTTTTCAACTGGATTGTTTATCTTGTTGTGGTTAGACACTACTTTAAAAAAAGAAAAAAAGA